CCTAGTTTGAGTATTTATGTTAATATACTCGGTCTCCCTTTGTCTTTCACCTTCCTTATGCTTTCTAGGCTCCGACAGGTTCTATGTACAAATGTTCTGACTATCTGGAAAATTAAATGAAAGTCCAGAACTGACAGAGACCCTGAGACAGAGCGGTGATCTTCTCAAAGCTTTAAGACAAAGCATTACTGAGACTGTGGGGCCAATCAACACATCCCACTGCATCGGAGGTAGAAAATTAAGGAAAGGGTCAGTGTTAGATTGTATGAGAAAAACATTTTTTCAAGGACATATATAGAGAGACATTTATCAAGGGAGAAACTTTGTGAGTCAGCAAAGATCACTGATTCTCACACAGTGTGCTGGCCATTAGAGGTATGCCCCTGAATTGGGCACAGAATCATATATACTGATCCCTAATCCATATCTTTGAATGATTTAATTTCCTTTTTTTATAAGGGTATCTCAAAAATAACTTTGACATCCAGGCATGGCCAGAACACATGCTGGACATGTGCCAAGCTTTGGCCACCCCAACATGCTCTGTCTAGAAGAGAAAAGCTGGCCTGATGCTGGCTTGCAGACGTAGCTATGGCATCCATGAAGAAAGAGAACATGTTCTGCTCTGCAGTCAGCCCAGGCTGGCTCTCATTACGCCCCTGCAGGATCATCAAATATCAAAAGAGGATGTTAGGAGCTTGGAAAGGGTCCAGAGGACTGGCACTGAAAGGAATAAATGTTTGAGAAATCATACTGAAGGGGCAGGCTGAATGGACCTGGGGTGCTTGCCCGGCTAACAGCTTGTGAGGACACAGAAAAGACGCCGGGGTGAGGCCTGTCCTAGGTAGTGAAGAGGCATCTGTCATGGCACAGAGGGCCCACAGAACAAGAGATAATGGCTTCAGAGGCGACTGTGAGATTTCCAAAGAGATTTGGGTCTGTCAGCCTTTGAAATGTATGTCCAAAGGACAGTACAGACAGCCTTTTCCCAACCCCTCCCCAAGATCAAGGATCATCAGAGATAATCCAGGTTAGAAAGATCAACTAGCCAGCCTCAGGGAGAAGGTGAAGTTTCATTTCAACACTTAGATCACTGTTATGGCGATGTGATGCTGTGATGTGATGTGATGTGATCACTACTCTGGGATTCTCTGATTTGACACGGGGATGTGTTACCTAACAAATGTGACGTGGGCACATTCACAAGTGATTGAGTGTGCAAGTGTGAGCACGTATGCATATGTATACGTGAGTGTGTGAGAGTCCGTGTGTATCATGGAGCGTAAGTGTATGTAAATGTCAGTGTCTACGTGCGTGTGTATGTGCGTGTGTGAGCGCGTCCGCATGTGTGTATTGTGTGAGTGTTTGGACAGTGGAGGGTGTGGTGCTCATCTCCTTCCTTCCTTGAAACACAAATACAAACGTTCTTTGGGAACATTTTTCCAAGGAAAACTGGCACTTCTGTTTAGAGACACAGCCTCGCGGCACCCTTCTTGAAAGAAAGCATGGCTGTCATGTGGTCAAGAGCATTACCGGCTGTCCTATCACCTGCTGCAACAAGACCACAGATGGTATGATTGCCAATGGAATGGGGGTCCCATTCCCAGAGGTAGGCTTGTTCTCGGCCGAATCAGGGGCATGACATGAACTCCCCTTTCTACTGTCTCCAAAGGTGGCCGCCCCCTTTCTTCTGAACACATGGCTTTCCACTTTATTATATAAGGAAAAAAGAGAAAGTTACATGTGCTCCAAGTTCAATGTGACCACTAGATAGTTTTGTTTTTATAACTAAGGAAAAGAAAAGGTTTTATTTTTTCACAGGAGGCACAGAAGTTCGGTTTAATTTCCAAAGATCTACATTCAGACAAATGCCAACATATGAGGCTTCATGGCAATAAAATTCCTGCCCCTTGTCTAGTCTACTTATTCGGGAGTGAATTCACAAAGAAAGTAATGTGTTTTCATCTCTCTGAATTTCAAAGAATATTGGACTCTACATGCTTCACAACTCACTTCTTTCCTGAGCTTTACATTTTAACTTACGTCTTTTGAACTTCCAGTCAGATAAGATTATGTATTTCTACAAATCTTGCCTCTGCCATAGTTACCTGAGACCAAAAGATTGCAAAATCAAGCAATGTTACCTTGACCTTTGTTGATACACAAATGCAGATGGTAGGCAGTCACTGTTGGCCCTAGGCTCCTCTGTAGCTCAGGCAGTTAAGGACTGTCTCTAGATTCTTTGGGGGTGGACAGTCATTATTGGCCTAGGCCTGGAGGGCCACTGTGGGCACCTCTGTATTTTTCTGCTGGAGCAGTATCAGGCACTTCTATATACCCTTCTTGCAGTACTTCTGAGAAAGCTCCTACCATGACATGTAACGGCAAGTCAAAAGCTTTTACTGAAGAAATGGAAAAGGGATCAGATATGAACAATCTGAAAGAAAGCACAATGCCTTCTCTATGAACGGTAATGCCCCTTAATATGGCTGAAATGGCACAGGCATCCTAAAGCCAACTTCCTCAGCTCATAAGCACCCATTGGAATTATTTTAGGGATTGGTGATTGCTTTTGTTTGTTTGAAAGAGATCACGTGGTTTTCCATGATCTCCTAACGAGAGGTGGATTCATCTCTTATTACACATTCTGTTATTAAATAATTACTGGGAATCCTGGTATCCAAAGTGGGGGGGGGGATATTTATTTGATAATGGTAGGTGTTCCATAGCCTAGTTGGTGTATGAATATTCACTCTTACAGTCAACAAGTCAACACCGCCTTGGGTTACTGAACAAAGGGCAGTGTCATCAACACAACAAAGGGTTGTTACTTAGACATCTCAGTCAAGGGTCTGAGAACTGGGTGAGAAGAGATCCTCAACAGGTAACCATTGACTTTAGTCCTAAGTCATAGGAATGCAAAGCAAGGATCTTCTGAGCCGTATTTACTTCTTTAGTACAAGAACAGGCAAATACTACAACCAGTCACAAGAAGAGAGTCTCAGAGGCTAGCCTTCTAGTTCAGAGCCCTGACAGCCTATCTACCATATGGATGTGGGCCAGAATTTCTGCTGGTTGGGGCTTTCTCATGTTGCTATATTTTGAAGAATAAAGAGTATGCCATCAGGTGAATAAAGAGTTGGTAATGCGAAAGCACAAAAATCTTGTCTTGTTTTTATTTCAGAAGTTTAGCCCAGGAAACTGCTATCATTTTAACCCCCCAGGGACCCTTACAATTAAAGGGGTTTAGGATGAAGCAACTATAAAGATAATTAGGAAAAAAGCAAAACAAAACAAAGAACACAAAACCTCCCCGTGATACTGAGGGTAATGTTTGCAAGGTACATGTCCTTGGAAAATCATTTATATTAATGCAATCTCCTGACAGCTAAATTTCTCCCCTTTCTGGATTCAATTTAAAAATTTTTAAATATCAGTAAATGTAATTTTTTGAAATAGCTCTGAATCAACTAAGAAACTAATTTTATCTCAGTGAGGTTAATTACATTATTTATTTATTAATTCCTTGTCCTATTGTTTCTTCTTTTTTTTACCCCCAAAGTGTTTGAGCTGGATACATTTAGTTATGAAAGCATTTAACATTTTAAATTAAGACACAAGGAAATCTAAATGACACTTGAGATGCCCTTGAGAGAAGCCTCTCACCTCTCGTGTTTATAGATAACTCATATATTCATAAATCAAATCCCGTGCACATTTAAGCCAGACCAAAAACTAAACAGCACCATGTCTCCCACTAGAAAAAAAAAATGCAATTATTCTGCTTAGTTATGTTTTTAAAATAGCTTGACATTTTAAATAATTGATGAATATGTAATTTGCTAATCAGTAACGGACAGTTCCCGTGGAGGTACCCTCACTAGTTTTATAATTTACTATTTCAGAAGAGTTTTATGAATGCAAAGATTAAAGCTGGGAAGTGGAGAGAAATCACTCCAGGACGACATTATCCTATTTAACACCCGTAATACTTAACACTAACAACAATTAAGTTTCACAAATTAAGTCAACGTACTGAATTTCTATTGGGTGAGTTATACACAGACATTTATGTGTCGTGATTATTCCCCAGAGACAACCATGTACCCAAATGAACATCAGAGCAACATACTCTTACTGTAAAGGATTAAATGATATTTTAGTTTATGCCTTTATTTCTTGTCTCTTTTCTCCAAGCGATAATAGAGATCTTATTTACCATGCATGAACACTTACATTCTCTTTCTGAGAACATTTCTGATGTTGTTGGTGTAAGAGAGGAAAATCATTTATTTAAAGATCGCCTTATTAATCTACAGTTTTTGGTAAATATCTAGATTATCTGGTCGGTCAATTTGTCTTTATAGCCTAAGAAAGAAGACTGGCTGCCATGTTCAATCCAGATGAGTTGGCATATGAATATTTATAAGGACATCGATATCCACAGTGTCTTACAATCATGCTCCAAGCTAAATAGAAATAAAAGCAAAACGGCCACAAATATTACAGTCTAATAGGATAAGAGCTGAAAGATATGTACAAATTCATTGACAACATCTGTGCAAGTGTTATAGACAAAACATTTAAAAAGAAATCTACATGAAACAAAGTAGATAAATTTATCAAATGTTGATAAATTTTCAGAGACAGTATAAAAGTACATAAAACATGGAAGAGAGGAAGAGCTTTAAAAAAAAAAAAATAACCACTAAGCCAATACAAATTTACTACATTAATATTACAGAATGATGGGAACCAGAGACAAAAAAACGATTTGGTAACAAACAGCAAAGGAAGTTTCACCAGTCACAGAGAAGAAAGACTTTCCCTTCCGGATGAGAACACAGACCGCCACAACTCACCCCCTCCACCCATACACACATAGAAAAATAAAAGCAAACGCAAGAGTTGTCTACGGCAACACAGGACAGACAGACGTGGAAGCGCCTGGCATGTTGCATCACACGAAGTCAATCACGATTGGCTAACGGTGATGGTACCTGGCTCTGTTGCGGGTCACTGGCTTGCCTGAGAGGCGTCACTGATGGAGGGGGCACACCTGATGTGGATGCAGACCGGCCTAATTTGCAGCTTACTTTCGCTTCTGTGAAAAGGGGGGGAAAAGGCAAAGTATTAGCTGAGCAGGGTCTGCAGCGACCAGCGGCGTTCAGGCTCCCATATTGTTTTGCAGCGCGCTCTTTCAGTGCATTGGATACTGCAGATGCTTGCTGGTACCTGGCAGGTCGTGACAGTCTCACGACAACCGACTCGAAAACGAGCTTTATTTGCACTCAGCTCCCGGAAATAAAGAACGAGCCAAGGGAACAAGCAGAGGCCTTGTTCCCTCAGGCATTTTACCTCATTTGGAGTTAGTTTTTATAGAGTGAGTGCCAGAGCAAGAGCCCCATGCAGGAAAAAAAAGCAAGTGACATGAACATTTCCTCCAGCGCTGGTCCAGAGGTCTTGAAATGTCTTTTCTACCTGCTCCAAAATATTTCCTCCCTCCCTCCCTTCCTTTCTCTCTCTCTCTCTCTCTCTCTCTCTCTCTCTCTCTCTCTCTCTTTTTCCTTCTTCTAATCTTGAAATCTAGAACCTGGGGCTTGGGCTGAAAGGTAGCCCTTCTCTAATTTATCTCTATTCACTTTCAAGTTGACAACCATCTTCTAAGACGTTTGGTATTTTTCATAATGATAGTATTTTTCCAAGTTATAAAAACATTCCCCTAACTCTTCTTCGATTTCAGAAGCTCAAATGAGTTTCCCAGGCCATTGATGGGATACTTTGGAGATTAGAATTTGGTAACGGAAGAGTTCCCTTCATCCAAGAGGGTACAGATCGGATCTTAATTAAAATGTTAATATAGATGAAGACGTTTGAGAAGAAAATACTTTTGTCGCAGACTTTTATATTGGCTGTAACTTTTTGAGTGCCAGGTATATTCCAGCTTCTGTCTGGGCTATATTTGAATTATCTCTAATCCGAAAGATATTCCATAGAGTTACACAGTTAGCCAGAAAAGCTGCCAATTTCTACATATACTTACATACATGTGTATATATTGGAAACCTCCTTGCTGACTCCCATAATCTCTCTGCTCAAAACCAACTTAGACACCATTTTCCTAGACTGAGCTTCCTAAATTACTTTGAAGCCACCCACCTTATTCCAAGTTTTCTAATTATTCCATATTTCATATGAGAAAAACTTCAAACCCCCTTGACTAATTTTCAGAGGCCTCCTGTGATCTGCTCAGATCCACTCTGTTTCCACTGTTCTTCCCAAAGCACATGCAACTGTCTTCCCCTCTCAGTTTCTGCATTTGATCCTGCTTCTGTCCTTCACCTCAGGGTGTGCCCTTGTGTGGACTTCCGTCAGACTAAGTCTTACCCATTTCCGAAGACCAACTTCAGCAAGTCCTTCCTACTGCGAAGCATCCTGAGTCTCTCTTCTGAAACTGCCTTAGCACTTATACAGTGTTTGCAATGCCTGCTGTGGCTTTGGGCATTTATGTCGGTGTGGGCCACGCAGTAAGTGTTCAATTAATACGCATTTTTCTTTCACTGAAGACACTCAGTTTAACCTAGGAAAGGTTAAGGCAACTCCTAAAAACAAATGGAGGCAATGCAAGTAATGTAGAATATGCTTTAAGGCCTGAGTTCAAGGCCTAGCTCCCCACTTACAAAGGCAGTGATTCTCATTCAAAGGCTTTGTGATGTTCTAGGGTCCATTTCAGAGGAGGCATGAGGTTGGAAACTCTCCCTGCCTTAATTTTTATGCAGATGATTCTAGTCTACTCAACCACTTTTGAAAGGTGTTTCAATATAACAGTATCATACAATGGCATAAACTATCACTGTAACTTAGAAGTTAATCTCATTTCCCAGGAGGCATAAATCCTTGCATACCTCAGCAAATCATCTTTTATTATACAAAATAATGGGTAAAGCATCTATCACAATCCTGGTTGACGTGTATTTAGAACGGGGCCAATGTTTCCATGCATCCCTTCGCTGTGGTAGCACATTTAGTCACATGGAGTCAGAAAATTCACTATTTTTTCCTAGGAAAGGATGGCAAATAATATTTCTTTACTTAAGGTCCTTTTCCAGTTTATATTAAAGAGATTATCTGATGAGTGACACAATTCGAGGCCTTTTACATTATCTAGTGTACCTATGGATTAATTTCTCCTGCTAGGTTTCCACTATGATTCTGACTTAACCAGCCTCTTTCAAACATAGACAAAGATATCTCTAAGGAACAGACTGAGCTGTACCAAAATCCAGACAGACTCCCCATTTCATTATGACCTGCAAAGGCTTCGTCTTACCACCATTGGACATCAGTCCAGAGCATGTCTGAGCTCACGAAGCCCCCTTAGGTACTGCAGTATAAACCGCTCAATCCACATTACACACAGCAGTTTAGGCTACTAGCCGACTACCCTGTGGGCTAGCGCTAAGGTGAGGTCACACTGGAGTCAACTATTGGATCCCAACATGGCTCATATGGGTCATGGTTCTACCTGTAGCAGCAGACTAACATTGTGACCATAAAGCCATTATGTCCACATGCTTACAGAGACAAATACACACACATACACACTGCATAAAATTACTGCTTAATGGTGTCATGTTGTAGGGATATTATTACAATTGTAAAGTTTTGGTTTATCTTTATCTTACTCATTTTGGCTCTTTGCCCTTCTTTCGGTTTTACATGGCCCTTATGTGCATTTCAAGTTTATTATATTATGGAGTTATATTATGGAGTATATCATGGTCCCTCTATATTAAAGGACCATGTTGGGGGTCTTTATGATGTAGCATCCACCAAGGTTCCTTGACCAAAAGAATTGTCTGAAGAAGCCCCAAAAGTCAAAAAATCCCAGAAAAGATTCTGATTAAAACCAAGCCTCACAGAGATTCTTTAGGGCTATGACATTGAAGTTAAATTGTCCATCTTACCTGCCCTTGGAAATACACTGTGCTTTGAGCCTTAAACAGGGAAGCTTAGGAGCCATGACACTAAAAACAGTACATTTTCATCCTGAATTTTGTTCATGTAAAAATTGCCAAGGTTTTTTGGGGGCTCAAGAACAATGGCCATGTTCCTCAAAAGAGATCTAAGGTAGAACTTTCCTCCCTCAAGAAAAACTCATTCCATTTCATTAAGAGATTAATGATGAACTGAAAGGCACCTGTTATTCCCACATCCAAGGAAAAGCTTCTTTCTTTGTAAGCTCTATTATTAATCATCATCCTAGAAGTAACAGTTGATGTCATATATGAAATTTCAATGCAGATCAAGTGCAAAGAGAAGAAAGAATAAGAAAAAGGTAGTAGATTAAGGAAGAAAGAGAATCAGAGGGGAAAAGAAAGAATAGAAAAAGAAGCCGAGAAGGCAGGAAGGAAGGGAGGGAGTAAAGAGAGGAAGGAAGGAAGGAAGGAAGGAAGGAAGGAAGGAAGGAAGGAAGGAAGGAAGGAAGGAAGGATAGGAGGTAGGGTGGGAGAGAGGGAGGAAGGAAGGAAGGAAAGAAGGAAGGGAGGAAGGAAGGAAGGAAGGAAGGAAGGAAGGAAGGAAAGAAGGAAAGAAGAAACAAAAGAAAAAGGAAAGAACAAAAGAAAGGAAAGAAAAGGAAAAGAAAAGAGACAAATTTTAACTTTTTGGAATAAACCATTATCAAGATATTATCATGAAATGTTTCCCAAGTAATGACTCATGATCATCTTAAAATTTTTATTATGTAAGTACCCAGCAAACTGTGTGACTTAATATTTCTTTGTTTTTATTCTTAGTGGATTCAATTTATCACTGTTTTGTTTCGTTTTGTTTTGTTTTGTTTTGTTTTGTTGTAGAGATAGTCATTTCTCAATCATTTCTCATCTTCCCTTCAAGGTGAATTGTATTTCTCTTCAAAATCATGTCCTTAGTTGTGTTACCAATAATCTCTAAGGCATTCACTGCTATTATTGTGAGTATTGGAGTTCTCTTTGCTTTCAGAAAGCAAAGACAAATGACTCTTCTCAACCTCTGTATCTACACAGCAACAGGAGAGTAGGGCATTTTCACCAAAGAAAACACTTTCATCTAGCATCAAAGAAATAAAATCAGTCAAATTCTGAGACATATCTTTCCTCTATCTTAGGTTTTTTTCCTAATACACAATATTTTTCTCTAGTAGCAGAAACATATCATGATTTCTCCAAGTCATCTTGCTGAAAGTTTCTAATCAATGGCTCAAGGCTATATGGAAGTCACAGAGAGGTCCCTTTACAATACAACAAAGTATGCTTATTACAAATTCTACTTTCATTTCTAAGAAAGGCATTTGTTGGAAATAACACATATGTTATTTGAGATAAACTGGTGTTTAAGTAATAAGTGGTAGTTGTACCAGGACTATAGTAAAACCTTCATGGTTCCCACCACTTTGTTTAAAGGCTTCTATCACTCATCACAAGTAAACACACAAGATGCCCTCAAGTCCCACGCTAAATGTCATGTGTCCTGTACATAATTTTCATGCATTTTTATAATTTTGCTTCAGGAATGATTGGACTGTGAATAATCCAATTCATTCATGACTGGCTATGATTTCTAGGCAATAATCAAGTGGACTCAGGAATTCTTGCAGTATGACACAATCGAATCTAGAAATTGTTCCCAAATGTAATATAATTGTTTTATTTATTTATTTATTTTTAAATTTTCTTGAAACCCAAGTTACTTGCCATATAGTGTAATAATGGCTTCAGGAGTAGAATTTCGTGATTCATCACTCACATATAACACCCAGTGCTCGTCCAAACAAGTACCTTCCTTAATGCCCATCACCTATTTAGCCCACCCTGCTACCCAACACCCCTCCAGCAGCCCTCAGTTTGCTCTCTGTATTTAAGTGTCTCTTATGGTTTGCTTCCCTCTCTGTTTTTGTCTTATTTTTCCTTCCCTTACCCTATGTTCATCTGTTTTTTTTTTTTTTAATTCCGCATATGTGTGAAATCATATGATGTTGGTCTTTTTCTGACTGACTTATTTTGCTTAGCAGAATACACTCTAGCTCCATCCAGAATGGTAAGATTTCATCCTTTTTTTTTTTTT